TTCAGGGCACACACATTTTTTTTTGGCGGGCGCGGTCTTACAAGGCCGGGATGACCTACACTTGTTGCGGCTTCCTTCAAGAGAAGAACAAGAGAGAGACAGAGAGAGACAGAAAACCCCCCCGTTTCCCTGCGCGCCCCGCGATGACTGACCTTAGGCCTTGACCATCGGCCACAGGGTCGGATGTCTCTGGGGGGTTGTGCTTTTTCTGCCTGCGAGTTTTTTTGGTCGGGTCTTTTGGTGGGTCACACGCTTCGTGACGTCACAATGGCGGGGTGAAACGACGGTGACACGACGGTGGCTGGGTGGGGGGGCGACCTTGGCTGGGGGTGAGACGACGGTGAGACGACGGTGGCTGCGTGGGACGACGACGGATTTGGGGGAATCTCATGCTTTCCTGTACTCAGAATTCGCTCTCGGAGGGTCGGCAGAAGCGAAAACCCATCGGGCCTGGAAATCAAGCCCGAAGGATCATTGGGTTATCATGCATTCCTGTGCTCGGATTTCACTTTCGGGGAATCGGCGGCAGCGACAATCCATCGGGCCTGAAAATTAAGCCCGACGGATTTGGGGGAATCTCATGCTTTCCTGCACTCAAAATACGCTCTCGGAGGGTGGGAAGCAGCGAAAACCCATCGGGCCTGGAAATCAAGCCCGAAAGATCTTTGGATTATCATGCATTCCTGTGCTCGGATTTCACTTTCGGGGAATCGGCGGCAGCGAAAATCCATCGGGCCTGAAAATTAAGCCCGAGGGATTTGGGGGAATCTCATGCTTTCCTGTACTCAGAATTCGCTCTCGGAGGGTCGGCAGCAGCGAAAGCCCATCGGGCCTGGAAATCAAGCCCGAAGGATCTTTGGGTTCTCATGCGTTCCTGTGCTCGGATTTCGCTTTCGGGGAATCGGCGGCAGCGAAAATCCATCGGGCCTGAAAATCAAGCCCGACGGAACTGGGGGAATCTCACGCGTTCATATGCTCGAAATTCGTTTTTGGAGAATCGGCGGCAACGAAATTTCATCGGGCCTGGAAAAGCGAGCCCGGATGATCTGGAGGAATCTCCTGCTTTTTTGTTGTCGGAATTCGCTTTCGGAGAGTTGGCTGCAGAGCAAACCCACTGGGCCTGAAAATCAATCCCGAAAGATCTGGGGAAACCGCATGCTTTCCTGTGCGCTTTCGGAGGGTGAGACGACGGTAAGACGACGGCGGCTGGGTGGGGAGGGCGGGTGACCGGGGGGGTGAGACGACGGCGAGACGACGGTGGCTGGGGGGTGAGACGACGGCGGCTGGGGGGTGAACGCAGGTGAGACGGACGGTGGCTGGCGGTTGAGACGACGATGAGGCGAGGGCGGCTGATGGGTGAGACGACGGCGAGACGACGGCGGCGGGGGGGTGAGACGACAATGGCTGGGGGGTGAGAAGACGGTGAGAAGACGGTGGCTGGGGGGCGAGACAGCAGTGGATGGGGGGTCAGACCTCGGTGGGACAACGGCGGTTGGGGGGACGGCGAAGCGACGGTGGCTGCGGGGGCGAGGTCGACAACGGCGAGATGACCACCACGCACGACCACGTACCACCACCACGTGCCACAACGCACCACCACGCACCACCACCACGCACCGCCACGCACCACCACGCATGACCACCACGCACCACCACGTACCATCACGCATGGCCACCACGCATAGCCACCACGCACCACCACGCATGACAACCACGCACCACCACGCACCACCACCACGTACCACCACGCACCGCCACGTACCACCACGCTTGACCACCACGTATGACCACCACGTACCACCACGCACCGCCACCACGTGCCACCACGCACCATCACGCACCACCACGTATGACCACCACGTACCACCACGCATGACCACCACGCACCACGACGCACCACCACGCATGACCACCACGTACCACCACGCACCGCCACCACGCACCACCAAGCACCACCACGCATGACAACCACGCACCACCACGCATGACAACCACGCACCACCACTGAGCACCACGCACCACCACGTATGACCACCACGTGCCACCACGCATGACCACCATGTACCACCACGTATCACCACGTATGACCACCACGCATCCCCACGCACCACCACCACGCACCACCACGTACCACCACGCACCACCACGTATGACCACCACGCATGACCACCACGTATGACCACCACGTACCACCACCACGTGCCACCACGCACCACCACTCATGACCACCGCGCATGACCACTACGCACCACCACGCATGACCACCACGCACCACCACGTACCACCACGCATGGCAACCGCGTGCCACCACGCACCACCACGCACCACCACCACGCACCACCACGTACCACCACGCACCACCACGCACCACCACCACGTACAACCATCACGCGCCCCCACGTGCCACCACGCACCCCACCACGCACCACCACGCACCACCACGCATGACGACCACGCACCACCACGCACCACCACGCATGACCACCACGTGCCACCACGC